CAGGACGCGGCGCACATGCGCGAGGCGCCGCCGGAAGTCCGCCTGCGGGGCCGCCGGGGTCGGGGGGCGCGCGCCCGGACTCTGTTTCCCATGAGTCTGCACTCCGTCAAGTTAGGGGACGTCTCAGCGGTCCCCTCTTCGCCCAGCGGTCAAGAGGCGCTGTGTGGAGAGGACTCGCCGCCCGGACCCGGGCCTCACGTTTGCCATTTGTCTTCATTCTTGTTGAGGACCAAGGAAAGGTGTCACCCGTGTGACAGCGTCCTGGAGTCCTGGTCCTTTCCTTGCTCTGACACCTTGCGCGTTAGAACCAAAATTCCCCCACAACCAGGAGAGCGGAAGGGAGAAGTATGCATCATGTTCACTTAACTGAAAATCTAGAAGTGTCGCTGAAATACCAGGATACAACAAATGGCCACCTATGACATAAAACAGTATTACCCATGGGCATATGCTTTCTCCAAGAAAAGAAGAGGTAATAGAAGTTGTAGCCCTCCTAGATGACACAACTAATACATAAAAACTGTAAAAAATCAGACAATACTCACAAACTGAAAAAACAGATACCCAGGATCTTACCTCTCAAGGAGGACTATGTTTTTATTAGACAAAAATGTCATTTTTCAAAAATGGGATCATGAAGGCAGTAATTAACACTATAGTGAAATAATACAATCTCGTTTTTGGTCAATTGTTTCTTAAGAGATGGTGGAAATTAAAATATCCCGCCATCCCAGAAAATCACTTCCATAAATGTAGAAATAAAGAAACAGTTTTGTTGTTTGTTAAATAACCATCAAGCCAGACTGTGGTGCTCACAAGTGAAGGAACCACTAATGAGAATGCCAAGAGAGAAATGAACCTCATCTTTTTATATAGCTCAGCAGATACAATCATCACAGACATATCTGAAGTTAAACAGTAATTCCTCTCATGTGAAATGACTGGATAGCACCATTTGCTATAAGTTTTTTCATAGTTCATCATAAATTCACTTGGTAATTTGAGTGGCCATCTGTGCTAATTAATTGCCATTATCCAAAAGAAAAAGGAAAGTTCTCATCTGAATGACCGCTCAGAGCAAGGTGCTTTAGCGCCTAGCCTAAACTCCCATTGTGACAGAGATAGGGAAATTATCTTCCTTGAGGTTTACATTTCAAAGAGATAGCTGTCTGGCTCTAAAAAAAAAAAAAAAATCCTGGGTTGTAATGCTCACAAGAAATTTATTTAGCTTCTAAAAAGATTTAGAAACGTCTGAAAGGGACAGAAAGTATTTCTATCACAAGTATTCTCAAGGAAATGCTCTTAAAAAGGGAATAGTAAGTACTGGGCTGATTCATCGAAATGAATGGACATATAACGCATTCCTGGTTTGCCCAACTAACCTGAGGCTTTAAACTAATTCTGCACAAAACCAGTGCTTTTCCAGAGTTGTTCTTGGAAGCGGCTGTATCACTAAGAATGGTCTTTTTTCAGCTCTTACTGCTATTAAGTGTAGCTTGTGCCTGAATTCTCATCCATGGAATGCTAGATTGCCAGTGACAGTGACCACATTTCTGGGCCTGAGCCAGGAAAACTCCAGGACACGTTCTCTATGGTCTTTTCCATTTCCACCGGGTAAAGGCTGGGAGCTGTGCTGAGCTGTGCTGAGCCTGATGGTGAGGATGAGCCCATCAGCCTGGGTCCCTGGCCTCCAGTTCTCACCTCACCATGTGCAATGACCAACACTCAGCAGAAGATTTGGCGGGGCCCTCTAGACCTCATTCCTCTCTGGTTTTCTGCCCTGCAAACTCCAGCTGCCATGCCCCCCTCAACACTCAACTCTGTCCCTTCAGCTCAGAGACATGCTAGGCTCCCCCAGATCTCCTGCCATGTACTCTGGCCTGGCCTCTCTCTGGGTTCACATCTCTCTCTAGAGAAATGGCTAAATGTATTGCCCCCTTTTTCAAAACATGTTCGAGCTGGGAGGGTAAATTTGGACCCTGTGATTCCATCCTGGCCAGAAGAGCAGAAGTCCTTTTACTGTGGCTCCATTAAGATCTCTCCAAGTGTCACAATCTAGAATATAAAGCTTTCTCTTTTTGTATTTGTAGAAAATACAAATATTTTCCCTAATTTGTCATCTATCTTTCTAACTTAATTTTTGTTTTACTTTTTCCTGTCATCTAGACATTTTTTATTTTTTCCTTCAAATCTTTTACTTTCTCTTCAGACTTTTAATTTGCTTTTATATTCTCCATGAAGAAGCCTTTCCCACCCTTAATTTTCTAAACAGTTGCCTGTGTTTTCTCCTGTTTATTTTTTCTCTTTAATGCGTCAATTTTATTAAGATATCTGGCACCTATCTTCAAGATTTGTAAATCAGGCTCCTCAGACTCAAAGTTGCTTCCTAACGCATGAACATGTGTGGCGATGGGACACGCATCCTCAGGCTGCAGTGCCATCTCCATCAGCGGGGCTACTGGCAGGACCTGGGCCGTGGAAAGCAAGGAGGAACGCCCAAGCTTGTGCATTGTCTCGAGGCCTCGTCCAGCTCAGAAGGTCAGCAACTGCAAAGGAGACAGTGAGTCCCTGCACCTCGGATGAACTGATTTTTTAAAATTTCAGCTTCTTTGAGATATAATTGATGTATAAAATTGTAAGACATTTAAAGTGTACATTGTGGTAATTTGATATATGTATATATTGTGAAAAGATTCTCCCCAACTAGTTAATTAACATATGCATCGCCTTACATGTTTACCTTTTGTGTGTGTGTGTGTGTGTGTGAGAACATATATGTTCTACTCTCTTAGCAAATTTCAATTATACAAGTCAGTGTTATCAATCATTGTCACCGTGTCATGTGTTAGCTCCTTGGACCTTATTCATCTTATAACTGAAAGTTTGTATCCTTCACCAGCCTCTATCTATTCACCCACCCCCAGCCCCTGGCAGCCTCTTTTCTACTTTCTGTTTCTATGAGTTTGACTTTTTAATTTTTTTAGATTACACATATTAGTGATACCACACAGGATTTGTCTTTGTCTGGTTTATTTCATAATTATAGCATAATGCCCTCACAATCCCTCTATGTTGTCACAAATGGAAGGATTTCCTTCTTTCTCATGGCTGAATAATATTTCATTATATCTGTATATGTAGAGAGATATGTGTGCATATATACATATGTATAACAATCACACCTTCTATATCTAATTATCCATTGAGGACACTGAGGTTGTTTCCATATCTGAGCTGTTGTGAATAATGTTGCAACAAACATGGGCGTGTAGACATCTTCAGTATCCTGTTTTCATTTCCTTAGGGTATATCCCCAGAAGTGGGATTCCTGCATCATAGGGTAATTCTATTTCTAATGTTTTGAGGATGAAATTAACTTGACTATGTATGCTTGATAGGAGCTGATTAGATACATATAAGTGATCAAAATACAAAATAAAATTTGGAGCACATAATGAATTTCCCATCAATATTCAAACAATGGATCAAAAGCAAGACTCAGAGCCAAAATGTGGAAACAACCCAAGCATCCATCAGTGGATGGATGGCAAAACAAAATGTGATGTATATACGTATATGTATGTATACATATACACACAGACATATGTATTTATATGTGTGTATGATATTATTCATACTTAAAAATTAATTCTGACTCATACGACGTGGATTAATCTGAAGATATTATGCTAAATAAGCCAGAAATGAATGAAAAATAATACCGTAAGATCCTACTTGTATGAGATACCTAGAGCAATCGAATTTGTAGGGACAGAAAGTAGAAAGGCAAGTGCCAAGGGCTGGGGGATCAGGGCGAGGCGTTGTTGTTTAATGGGGACAGAGTTCCAATTGGGGACAAGAAAATGTTCTGTGGATGGACAGTGGGCATCAACGCACGACAATGTGAATGTGTTTAATGCCACTGGACACTTTAAAATGGCTAAAATGGTAAATTTTATGTTACTTTACCACAATGAAAAAAAAAAGGAAAATTCAGATGTCAGGTGAAAGGCAGAGGTATGAGGTAGACAATGCAGAAGAAGCGTCCCCCAGCACTGCAGGGCACCGAGTTGGTTGATCTCTTTTCTGCATCTTGCCCCCACGTGCTCCCCACCTTCATGGGGAATATCACATTCTGTCTTGAACTGGAGATTTTTCTAATTAATCTTTTTTGCATGTGATATTTTATTCATAGGATACGCAAGTGGCGGTGAGATTTCTGGACCAAGAGTGATACACAGGCTGAAAGCTTGATATGTAGACTAGAGTTTCTTGCTTGCTAGGCTTTGGTTGACCCACAGACTCTCTTGAAATTGTACACACTGTCTGAAGTGTGTGTGAACGCATGCATAGTTTTCTAGGATTTTAGGTTCTCACATTTCTTGGACTCAAAGATGCCTTGCACAGAATCCTGGATGTAGTGTTTGTTTGTAACATTGAACTTTGTCAAATCGAGTGTTTTAAAGTAACTTTGAATTTGATAAGTCAATGTACCTGGGATCTGTTTTACATACTTATCTCATTCTTGTGAAGTCTTACCATTTCTGCTTGCCCTAAATTTCCTTGTCATTTTCCTCCCTCTCCCAACAGACTGCGCTCTGAAATAGGAATGGGGAAGGAGAGAGCCCGATGTATTTCAGGGTTAGAGTGGAGAGAACACCGCCTCTGCCGGGGAGAGGGTCAAGCGTGATGCTGACACACTGAAGATCGTTTGGGAGGCTGGGCAGAGGTTGGTGCGTCCATGGCAGGAGGCATCGTTTGCCCCTGGTCTCCAGAAGTGCACACATGGCAGTTACGTGTGTTTTCCTTCAAACTCGTTGCCAGGTTGGAATGACCGATGACATCGGAGGCTTCCGACTTTCCTGATTGGAAGGCCCAAACTCTCTGGTGCTCGGCAGTGGAGGTGGACAACAGCATCTTATCAGAGCTTTCTCTGCTCCTAGCTCCTGCTCAGCTTGGAGGAGGGATAACGGACTTGTGTTCAGCCAGAATCCAGAGGCATTTAGAAAGATCAGAGTCTCGCTTTTGTGAAACAGAAGCGTTTGAGAGCGCTCATGGCCGGTTGTCAACCCGATATCCGGTGCGAGGACCACAGCTCCCAGCCTAGCTCCTCAGGATGCTCCCTGGAGGTGATACTGGATGAAGAAACCCCGGGACCAACAGGTAGGAGATGAGGGAGAAGGGATGTGAGAGGGTTGACCAGTAAGGAGGACGGGGTATGGAAGTCAGCGAGGAGTACCTGAGTCGGGAGTGTGCGAAAGAAAGCGATTCAGAAAGCCAGGGCTTGGAGGAGGAGAGTACAGGTGCTGGGGACAAGGACGTCCCCATGGAAGGAAACTGGGGAGGAACGAAGGAGAGTTAGGAGACGAGATCCGAGGATGAGAGAAGGGAGGAGGGCACGGCGGAGGGTTCCTTTTTTTCTCCTCCAATGGGAGAAATGATTTCTAACGAGGATGAGTTTTGAGGACAGGGACATGGAACAACAGCGAGATGGGTGGGCGAGGGGGGCAGATGGATGCCACCAAAGGAGAATGACGGAAAGCTAGCTTGGGAGAGAGCCAGTGGCCTATGAGACTGGAGAGGATGGAGGGGTTCGTGTTTGGGGGTTAGGTGGGGGCGGAGTTTGAGTAGCTGGATTCCAAATATAAAAGCTTTATGTGGTAGCCTGGTTTCTTCACTCGCCCCACCTCCTTCCGGGGTAGATTCCAGCCTGTCCCCTCAGTCCCTTGTCCGGAAGGGGAAGAGGGCGTGGTCAGTAGAGGAAGAGGGGACCGCCCCTGAGGCTGAGGACGTCTGGGCCGTGGAGACGCTGTGTGGCCTCAAGATGAAGTTGAAGAGGCGGCGGGTGTCTGCAGTGCTCCCTGAGCACCACGAGGTCTTCAGCAGGCTGCTCGGTAGGAAGGGGCCCTGGGGAGGACCCTCCAATCCCATTCTTCTTTTGAAAAAAGAAGAAACTTCCAGTGATTACACTTTTCCAGTGGAAGAGAATTCCCTGTGACCTAGCTCTCTGTCCTCGGAGGACTCTGTACTGACCGCTCCTGGGCACTTGGAAATGGCGGAGGATTAGGCTGGACTTGAAAAGGGTCTGCGCTGGGGACCAGAACGCTTGGTTTCAACTGCACCGTCAGAGACTTCTTAGCTCTGCCTGGTGTTTTGAATCTAAATACCTTATCTGTGTAAGGGGGATAATAAGGCTGTCTTCGCACCCTGATGTCACTGTCGACTAAGAGAATGAATGGCTGTGGTCTCTGCAGTATACACACATGCAGGGGGAGGGAGCATCTACTTAAGATTATTTAAGATCTGAAGTATGTGGCTATGTTACTGACACCCTCCTTCTTGCTCAGTCACCCAGACAGAGTGCGGGGGTCACCACTGCTTCCCTGCCCCGTGAATGACCCCTTTACCCTCTTCCTATTCGCCTCACCCTTCGCCACAATCCTGAACCTTCCCCAGGAGAGGCGTGGTTCTCCTCCTTGCTCTGGAACACTCCCATAGCAACCCTGTTTCGGTCGTTAGTCTAACATGTGCCCTCTTTTCGCAGAGGATCCTGTCATTAAAAGGTTCCTGGCCTGGGACAAAAATCTGAAGGTATCTGACAAGGTAAGATGTGTTCCTGCCACCGTCTGTCCTGCGGCGGGGGAGAGCTTCCTGAACCCACAGTTCTATTCTCTCTTGGACCGGAAGCCTGGTCACCACTTCCCTTTGGGAGGGCCTAGTGGTTTCTCGCAGTGCGATGGGCAGCCCCGCCTCTGTCCCGCCTCCTTTGGGATCTGAGCTCCAGGCTTGCCCCTTTGGTGGTTGGCACATTATACCCCCTCTCTTCTCAGCTCTCAGGGAGTCCCCTTTGCTCCAGCTTATCAAAGACGCTCTCAAGCCATCAGAGCTTGCCGTCATGAGAGCATCACGAAGTCCTCCCTTGACTTCTGGGCTTTGTGACCAACCTTCTGATGGCCCCTCTCACTTCCCAACTAGGCAGGCTCACCCTGCACCGGGGGCTCTTCTCCTAGCGACACCTGCCCCAGCCTCCCGTTCCTTCCTTATCGCACCGTCCTTCCTCTTCCACGATGTGACCTCTCTCTACAGTGTTTTTACTCTTTCCATCAGTACCTCCTGTCTATGGTCATAGCTTACTTTAGCCGTGCGGGCCTCTTCTCCTGGCAGTACCAGCGAATTCATTTCTTCCTGGCCCTGTGAGTATCCTGCTTGATCCCATCAGCCAATATCCGTACCCCGGGCATGGGAGGAGAGAAGTGGGAGTAGGACCCTTCATCTATTTTTAACTATTTATAACTGTTTATTCTGGGTATAAAAATAAGATTATAGTATAGAGTTTTTTATACTGTTCTTTCTAAAAGTCAACATTCTTAATATCAGTTAAAAGACTGAATAGAACAAACAAACACACAAAAAACACCATAAAACCCTCCGAAAGAAAAAGTTGACACCACCGTACCTCCCAGCAAATAGGTTTGAGACCAACCATTTCTAATTCCTCTGTCCCTCTCTGTTCCATATCAATCCCAAGTATAATTGCCTTCTTCCTCTGTCCAGGCCCCCATTACATAGCACAGACGCTCCCCAGGGATGTTTCTTACAAGTCTCTGAAAATCCTTCCAAAACAGATCTAACCACTTCACAACCGTCCTCAGCAAGCTCATTGACTAATTATGTTCTCGGTCTGAATTCAGCCCTCCCTACAGCCCCCTTCCAACCGCATGCCATCCTGAGGATTCACTCCTCTGTTTCGCTGCTCTTCCAAAATACCCGCCCCTCTGGGTATTATTTCAATTAGAGTCGACACATAATGTTATTTTACCTTAGTTGCAGGTGCCCTTCCCTCTGTTTTTATATTGTTTTCTGTCTACGTACTTTTTCACGTCCACATAAGTACCTGAAGAAATGACCTGTACTTAAAGTCAGTTCAAACACCAAATCTTCATGCTGCCTCCTCTGACCTTTCTACTACGATATCCCAGAGCACTTTAATTAAATTCTATTATAACGTGATACTTTGCGTTATAGTTATTTCTTATCTCCCCCTTCCCGATCCCATTATACTAGACACCTGTCGAAGACAGGTCTTGTCAAAATGTCAATGCATTCTTAAAACACTCAGCGTAATTCCTTTTATTTTGCACATGTTTAAGTTATACTGCGTCTATGAGATAATCGGTTTTACATTTGACCATGAGACACTGAGTCTATGAGATACTGAGTCTATGAGATAATCGGTTTTACATTTGACCATGAGACACTGAGTCTATGAGATACTGAGTCTATGAGATAATCGGTTTTACATTTGACCATGAGACAAAGCATTCATTCATTCATTTCACAAAACCTTATAAAGCACATCTCACGTGCCAGCAGACTTGAGGTGATGGGAAGAGAGATTCGAGACGTTCCGTTGAATTAATACACCAACATGAGCCAAGTCCTATCTTAGTCGTTTGGTAGGAAAGCTATGAATACAGAAATAGACCAGAGTTGGTCCCAGCCTGTCTCAAGCAAAAGAAAGCAGCTACCAAAGTCACGCCCTTGAATGCATCTGTGTCTTTCTCCAAGGCCAGGTTCATGGAGTGGAACCTTCTCAGATAAACCGATAGGTGCCCACACAGGTGAACACACGACACAGAGTGGGGAAGCACAGAGTCTTACAGAGCGAAGGGATGAAAGTCTGTAGGGTCTCCAAAGGCAGCTCTGGCGACTGGCGACGCAGAAAGCTGCATGTCACTCCCAAGCCAGTGGCTACAAGGGGTCGGAAGGTCAGAGTCTTGGGCTCTCGGCTCTCTGTCTGTGATGCTCTCGAGTTAGGCTCGAGCATTGTCTGGACCTTACAAGGTGAGAGCCTCATGCTCATCAGCCCCTGCAGGTGAGGGCTTATCCAAGACAGTCATGCTGATGTTTCTGTGGTTTTGGGCATCAAGTCACACTCTTATGTGCCAGGTGACATTACTGTCATGGTGCCCATGGAATCCATTTTGTAAAGTCCACAAAGTCCTCGATTCTTGATGCTCAGTGCCCTGCCCCCAGGAGTAGTAGAGGCACTTACACTCTATGGGTCAGGTGTGTGCACACACACCAGGTTGAAGGGGAGGTGGCTGAGGACAGGGAAGGGAAAATTGTGATGGGAACCGTGTTGCCTGTGGACGGCAGGATAGGCCCTCGGGCTTCCTTGTCAAATTTTGTCTTCATCATCACGGTATGAGAAGCACCCTTTAGGTCCCTGCCCATCAGTGGCTTCTTGATGATTGGGTGGCCCTCTGTGACACCTGTAGGTCCTACGTGAAGACAATCAGCCTGTGTCCTTGCTGGGAAGCTGACCTCAGGCGGTGGTCCTTCCTGTTCTGCTCTTGACCTGCAACCTAATGTCTTTCCCCAGCTACCTGGCCAGCGATATGGAAGAGGACAACCAGGCCCCCAAACAGGCTATCTTTTCCTTCCTCTTTGGGAAGAACCGTTCTCAGCGTCCCTTGTTCCACAAACTGCGATTCCAGTTCGTCCGTTCCATGGGTTGGAAGACGAGGGTCTCCCAGGAAGAGTGCGAAGAGGTGAGTGGGCTGTGGGGATTCGGGGAGCGGACTCGACTAGAGAGAGAAGGGATCATGGGGGATCAGAGTTGGGATTTGGGGACCAGAAAGAATTAGGGGCTGGACAAGGGGAGAGAAGGGTCCCACCTGGAGGGTCATCATCTTCCCAGGGGGCTGTTTGTCATTCCAGATCCAGGCTTTTCATCCAGAGCTCTGGGTGTGGGCACGAGATCGCGCCTTCATTCCCAAGAGTACGGAGGCCTGAGGTCACTGGCCTGAGGAAGGTAGGTCCGTGTCCTCCTGGGTACAGATGGAATGATTTGTTGTCTATTTATGAAATCTGAGAGACCCAGTTGCTGGACCATGCTCATCACTCCCCTACCCACGTCGCCCTTCCACACACTGTGCAGCAGACCCGCCGGGCGCACAGCCAGGCCTGGCTCGGCTCCCAGCTGCGAACTGACAACCACACACAGGCACAACCTTGGTGGAACATGTGGGTGCCAGGCCTCAAGATCTGGCTGAAATCATTTCATCCAAAGCATTTCGTTCCAAATAATAGCTTTGGTGAAATGTCGATTTTTGTGAAAAGTGAATAAGTTTCCAATTTTTTCCATATCTTGTGTTTTGGCTTTCTCTTGTTCATTCATTTTGGCCTTTTCATCCCTCAGGAATACCAACTATATGGATTTATCTATAACAAAGTAAATATCTAACAGTAGGATATTAGTTGGAACAGTCAATATACTTAATAATAAAAGATAACTTATGACTAGCTATATTTCATCCAAATTTACTTTTAAACAAATTGCTTATGGCCAAATTACCAGAGTGTTCTTCATGTCCCCTGACTCACCAGATCTGGACCAGTCTCTCCTCATACACAATTATGCCTTCCCACCTCAAGTTTATGTTCAAGAAAGTTTGTCAGAAAGAGTGAAGGTTCAGAAATACCAGCCTCAGCTGGTTTATTATGATCAACACATTAGAGTTTTGGGTTTGGGCAGAGGATTAAGCAAAGACTTGGTTTAAAGCTTGTGAATTTGCTATCTTAGTCCGTTTGCACCTCTATAATAGAACATCACAGACTGGGTGGCTTATAAACAACAGACATGTATTTCTCATAGTTCTGGATGCTGGAATTCTGAAATCAGGTACCAGCATTGGTGGGCTCTGGTGAAAACCCTCTTCTGTGTTGCCAGCTGCACATGGGTCTGCACATGGGTCTGCACATGGTGGAAGGAGCGAGGGGTCTCTCCAAGGCCTCTTTTATAAGGACTCTAATCTCATCCTTAAGGACTCTACCCCATGACGTAATCACGTCCTCAATGTCCCACCTCCTAATGCCCTCGCCTTAAGGGTTAGGATTTCAATGTGAATTTGGGGGGACACAAACATTTAGACCATAGCAATGGCTAAGTTTAGGACTTGGTTTTATGGTTAAACATTAGGATCTAGGGTTAGGGTTGGGGATCCAGCTTCTGGTCTCATGATTTGTGATGTTGACATGTTAGTAATATTTGTAGTGTGGTTAGAAGTTCAGATTGGAAGTACCACAAAAAGACTGAGGTGTGAGTAAGTCTAAAGCAGCATTCTCCCTATGTGCTCTTCTCCCTGAGCAGAATCACCCAGAGTCCTCGCTAAAAAGCAGACTGATGTGCCTGAATTTAGGGGTATTAAGTAATTTTTGAACTCAGGATCATCAAAATTCAAGAATCACACTTGAAAACAATGGTTCAGGATTGAGGTTGAGAATGGAGGAATACAGATAAAATTGGATTTATAAATTAATCTAAACTCAGGTTAGAATTGACTGAGAATATGAATAATCTTTATGCCTAGAGAGCTGCCTCTTTGAAATGTGACATTCTCTATCTTTCTTTTACTTCTAGATAGATCGCTGAGCCCAGGGGAGATTCGGGTTTTCGGCAGGAAGTCAATCCAGACACCAGTGACAGACATGAGGAAGGGAAAAGAAGCCTCTTGTGCAGATAATCTAGAAGAACCCAGAATCTTCTAGAAAGAGCTGAATAGAATTATCACATCATATTCCTAGGAGCTGGGGGTACTTCTAGGAGTCCTTGGAAAAACATAAGAAACCAGAGTTTTTTTAGGCTCCATCCCTTCCTAAGGTGCCACCCAAAATATCAGATGGTTTGGTTCACATCTCCCCTGAGTTGGAAGCTGGAGGTCCTGTTTTTTATGTACTTGGTTGCCACAGTCTAGGTGGAGTGTAGGGGCTCAGAATAAGAGGAAATTACTTTAAAAGTTTAAAGTTAGAGCCATAGGATTGTGATAGATAGTTTAATATATGCAGTAAATTTCATTGGCTTATTTTGAAAATGTTGCCCATATTATCTTTTTAAAAATATTTTATATTTATATATTTATTTTAAATATATAAAAACATGCTGTTCCTACAGTTTTGTGATGAGTAATATAGCTGTTATATATATATATATATAAATATAATTTTATTTACATTTTCAAGAGAGTTTTTGTGTTTTTATCTATTGTATTTATATATCAATTATAGCTAGGTAAGTAGTTCTCCCAAATTCTCGTAAATATAAATTTCTATATTTTGTCTTTATTATTGAATTGTGAAAATTCATTTGTAATTTTTTAACTTGCCTGGGTGAGATGTTTGTATGTCATTTTAGATTATTAAGGAGGACAGTGTACTGCATAATCGGGGAACTACAATAAAGATGAAAGTCTCATCTTCGCTATGTGTTTGGTTGTGCCAGTCTGGCTCGCCCGTTCGCTGTCAAATGATAATGTTGCTTACTGGGCTTGTGATTATTCAACCAGGTCTCTTAACTCTGAAAAATAATCCTGAATTATTTTTCACATAGAGAAAGCAATAGAAGTCGAGGCAGATCCTCAGCCAGAGTCTGAAAGCAGGACAAAAGGAAAAGCTATTGAGGGAGAAAAATGGGAAAAGTAGAAAGAAGGAAGAAACACCATGGATACCTAGACGGTCATTTGAAATTCAAAATAAAGGAAAGGTGACTCCGTAGGACATGCATTCCTGGAAATGGGCTGTGACAAGCAGACCCACGGCACAAGAGAACACACACAGTGCTCACTATTTTAACTCTAATGGGAATCCTTTTCACAACCTCTAAGTCAGTCTTATGTGGTACAAGGAAAATCTAGAGCATGTGGTGAAATAGAAACAATGGAAAAGAAATGAGAGTATAGGAGAAATTTCAGGGCAAAAAAGAGAAAATAGGAAAAGCTAAAACGTTAAGTAAGATAGGCATGGAGGAGAAGGAGCTGATAACATGAACACTGCGTCGGTAGAGAAAAGCATCTGGGGAGACGGGAGCATCAGAGGATTCTGGGACGGTCTGAAAGGCCAAGCTTCACGTTCTCGAGATGTACCACCTTCGCAGCACGTGGATGTGTTTCACCAATCAGAGAAGCTCCTTGAGCTTTGGTGACAAGTTTTTACTGATGTTGCATTATGTAGGCATGACTTTTTCAATCACTAGCCACGCAATTAAACTCAATCTCCAGCCCCCCTCCCTCCCCATAGATTGGGTTGATATCACGTGGCTCAAAGCCTCACCCTGAAATCAGAGGGTTGGTCTGTCTGGCATGCTGGCTCCCATCCCCAGTCACCTCTGTAGCATAACCATAGGTGTGCTCCGAGGGCCTCAGCGTAAGTAGCAGACACTCCTATCACTCAGGAGGATTTAGGGGCTTCCTCCAAGGAACTAGGGATAAGGACCAGCCAAAGTTCATTATACAACACACTGACCGTGGTCAGGAGCTCTGTCACAACTCAGGTGCTCAGGAAAGGTAAATAGATGCAGGTGCAGGAATGTTTTAGGCTAGAGCTATGACAAGGGGGAGAGGAGAAGCTGAGGGAATGAGGAGTGAAATAATGGGGTGCGCACAGGCCATTGAAATAGCTTAGGATATGTGAGAGGAGATTGAAATAGCTAAAGACACGTGAGTGACTGAGTGAAGAGAAGCCAAAGAATAAAACGTCTGTGTGTTGGGGGCGAGGGTGCAGGTCTGGAAAATGAGGTCATCCGACGTGCACGGAGCAGCTGCAGAGAGTGAAACCAACGAGGCCAGTAGAGCTATGGAGACATCAGCAACTGGGGGATGGACAGCATTCAGATGTGTGACACAGATCATGGAGTAAGGGCCGCAGAGGAACTAGATTCAGCAGACCTGGAAACTAGAAAGCAAAGAGGAGAAACAGTCTTATGGGAGGAGCTTGGAAACATACAGCTTAGGAGACACCTAGGAATTGAAATGAAAAGTGAATATAACAAACTCTAGGTGTTCACAGGATGGCAGGGGATGGAGTAGCAGCTAAAGTGAACAAAGGGTTAAGAGTCACACAAGAAACAGGACAATGGACTCAAACAATGAAGCAATAACAAACAGGTAAGAAAACAAATGGCCAGGCCACCAAGGACGGGGTGAATTGGGAGTGTTTTGGAACACCGGAGCAGAAAGCCATGGGTTCAGCCCAGATGTCCTGAGAAGCTTGAGATGGGGATTGGTCCAGTTGAAGAGAAGTGGAAGCCACGGCCACTGAGAAGTGGGTATAGCTCTAGATAGTCCCGGGACAAAGAGATGGACCAGCTGAGAAACTGGGACAGGCTGGAGGCTGCTGAAGGCTGAGTAGGCTGATACAGCAAGGGAGCTGCTTCAGAGCTGTGAGCTGGTGATGGAAAGATCTGTGACTCCCAGTCCTTGCCTCATGTAGCTATTCATCTGCCTGTGACATCTGCTACTTCCAAACTGATATTTTCTTCACGGAGTCTCCTTTTTCTTGGCTTAAATTTTTTTTTTACCTGTATGTATCTTTAAATGATAAGGAGTCCTTAAAAAGGTGGGGATAACCCATAATACCATTCTTTCTTAATGTATAATATCCAGTGTTCAAAGTTTCACAATTTTCTAAATGTCTTTTTGTTTTTTTCAATACATGAAGTTTCCCTGGCTCTGTTAGGTAAATCTGTTGGGGATCTTTGGGAAGACCTCCAAAACCGTTAAAACATACTTTAAGATCCTGAGTCTCAGACATGAAAATGAACACGTGCTAAATATTTTATTTAATTCAAGAGGGAGCCAGCAGCTGTTATAACCTGTTTAGAAGAGAAATTGAGAAACGCACATGTTATGGATCAGGAATATTGCAATGAACATGTGCATGAACGAATGAAGGCAAAACTCGTTTTACCCCCGAGTGGTGATGCTGGTAGTGATGGGGGGGGGGGCGGGGGCGGGGAGTCAACTGAATTACCAGCAGACAGAACAGAATTTGCACGTTACCTACAACTTTCAAAGAGGTATGCAAGAGCTCAAAAGACAAAAGGCTGGATTAAAAAATAACAGAGGGATGTTCGCAAACTGCTTGGTTTTCCACTGAAATACACAATTCTTTTTCTACACTCAGCACCTTCAAGAAGTAAAGTAATGGATAATTTTCATCTCTCAATTTTGTATCTTATGATTCTATAGTTCTAACGAATTAAAAGTAGTTTGAAATAGCTAGGTTTCTTTTTCCCAACAAGCGGGGAGGAAGGTAGATCAGGTTAATACTCTTATTCGGTTATCGCAGAACCGGTTACTGATCTTACTTAAATGTCTTGCCCATCATAAATGAACACGATACGCCGCTTTCCCTTATTTATCAGGGTTGTCTGTGGCTACGGATTCTAAGCCTTAGGCTCTCAAGGTATGAAAAAGACTAGGGCGCCAGGACACAATCAGGACACTCGTGCAGAGGCGACAGTACCGATGATTCTTTAAATTACGTGGATATCTGAGTCCCGGGTCCGGACGGCGAGTCCTCTGGACACAGCGCCTCTTGACCGCTGGGCGAGGAGGGGACCGCTGAGACGTCCCCTAACTTGACGGAGTGCAGACTCATGGGAAACAGAGTCCGGGCGCGCGCC